AAATTATTTGTAAACAGTTAATATTGTTATTCTGTTTATATACTGTTAGTATCAAATATTATAATCTATCTTAAAGTGAACTTGCATTTTCTTTTTTATAATAATTGCCTTTAGTTAGCTCTTTATGTTGAGAATATGCGCAACAGAGCATGAACCAGTAATTCAACAGTTCTTAAATGTACACTCCAATGACGTCTCCTATTACCTTAGAGATGTGCAAGCATCCTCATCCTCCTGCACTGAGGTGTTCCTCCTTATACTTAAATGAACTCACTGCCTCCTACGGTTCCTATCGAACCTTTTGAATTGCTGTTGTCAATTTGATTTCATATAAATATATCTTAAAAGAGCATAATGCTAATGGCAGGGTTTTTTTTACTAATTAAGCTACATGGTTGCATGGTTTTAAGAGGACAGCAGTGGATTTTTTGGTTGAATGTTTATAGATTATCTTGTGTCAGTCATTTGGGGGGTTCATTTAGCCTTGGTGACTCCCGAAAGTCTGAAATCCATGATAATTTGAAATTATTTTCTGCATTTCCCCCATTTTAATCAAGATTCTTCTATAGATTCTGAAGTCAAAGTGGTATGTAATGGTGGTGAGGTGTTTCTGATCTCCTGGCAACAGGGGTACTTGATAATGGATGCAATTAGCCACACAGCAGCCATTCCCTCCCTTGATTCCTGACTCTCCCTCTTCCTCAGTTGCTAAAGGTGGATAGGGAGCGATGACTGTCTTGGAGGGCTTGAATGCCCTCTTTATGAAACTTTCTTTATTGTGTGTGTGTGATTCATCCCTATGCTTTTTTTTTTAAGTTTATTTTATTTTTTAATCATTTTATTAGGGGCTCATACAACTCTTATCACAATCTATATATACATCAATTGTGAAAAGCATATTTGTACATTCATTGCCCTCATCATTCTCAAAACATTTACTCTCCACTTAAGCCCCTGGCATCAGGTCCTCTTTTTTTCCCTCCCCTCCCCATTTCCCCTTCTCTCATGAGCCCTTGATAATTTGTAAATTTTTATTTTGTCATATCTTGCCCTGTCCGACGTCTTCCTTCATCCACTTTTCTGTTGTTTGTCCCCCAGGAAAGAGGTCACATGTAGATCCTTGTAATCGGTTCCCCCTTTCCAACCCACTCTCCCTTTACCTTCCCAGTATTGCCACTCACACCACTGGTCCTGAAGGGATCATCTGCCCTGGATTCCCTGTGTTTCCAGTTCCTATCTATCAGTGTACATCCTCTGGCCTAGCCAGATTTGCAAGGTAGAATTGGGATCATGATAGTGGGGGGCAGAGGAAGTATTTAGGAACTAAATGTACTTTTCATCGTTGCTACATCACACCTTGTCTGGCTCATCTCCTCCCAGAAACCCCTCTGCAAGGGGATCTCCAGTGGCCTACAAATGGGCTTTGGATCTCCCCTCCACACTCCCCTCCTCATTTGCTATGGTAGGATGTTTTTGTTCTGGTGATGCCTGATACCTGATACCTTTAACACCTTGTGATCACACAGGCTGGTGTACTTCTTCCATGTGGGCTTTGTTGCTTCTGAGCTAGATGGCTGCTTGTTAACATTCAAGCCTTTGTCTAAGACCCCAGACAGTATATCTTTTGATAGCTTGGCACCATCAGCTTTCTTCACCTTTTTTTTTTTTTGTTATACACCTATTTGTCTTCAGCAATGGTATCATGGAGGTGGGCACACAATGATATGATTTTTAGTTCTTTGGGAAACTTTCTATCCAAGTCCATATATGATTGGGTTATTCATTTTCTTGTAGTTAGGTTATTGAAGTTGTTTTATATGTATTCTTACCCCACCCATGCTTTCCAAAGATAGTTTCACAGGTAGCAGTGGGCCTTGTCACTTTTTGCTAATGTCTTTTTCATGAGCAAAAGTTTTTTTGCTGTTTGTTCTTTTTTACTATATTAGATAATCCATTGTTAGAAACAGAGCCAACAGTAGTGTCCCTGCATATACTTTGAAGAAATTGATGGTTAGTTTGCACATTTGGTCTATACTGGCACTTTCCATAAAATCTGACATATTATACTTGGAGGAGTTATTGTTTGGAATCAAAATTTGGACTTCATTTTTATTAACAATAAATTTTATCCTGTGAGGTTTATTCTCACTGTTCCAGGTATAGACCACTTTTAGGGTCTTGACTATATTTTATGCCATATTTCACATCACTGAGGTTCAGTATCAGGTTCAGATAAAGATGTGTCCAGTGTATTCCACCACTCCACATAGTAGATTGGTGCATGGCCTTCGAGTAGGTTTCCCCCAGTTAGGAATTTCGGGTTCATTGAGGTGCTATTGTTCATGCAACATCAAAAGCATTCTGATATGACTCAAGTTTGTTTTCCTGATCTGGTATCCTGAAGGGAAAGGCATGTGATATTGGTCATAATTCAGTAATCTTACCTATATGTGCTTCGCCACTACCTTGAGCAGAAATCCAGTTCATTTAGGAAATTTTCATCTGGAGAACATCTTGAATTCTCTTTCAACAACTAGCAATGTTATCCCTCTATTTGACATGTTTCTCCTACTCCATCTCCTACAAAGATTAGTCTCTTTTACAAAGAAAACAGAAGTAAGATTCATTCTACTTTTTTATTGATATTAGCTGCTGACAAGTCAACCCTGAACACATGATGACCTTATATTACTAGAATCTAATCTTGCTTAGTCCTGCACAATCTCTGTGACCACAGCTGCTCTGTCTCAATACACCCAAACCTGTATGTTCCAGACCTGTTTCCCTTGAGTGACTTATGTGGGTGCGTATTTTGACAAACTGGCAGAACAGGTCTTTGCTTTCTGAAAAGCCGTCTTGTACAGGCATTCTTGAACTTGTCCTTTCTTATCGGGTTATTTTTAAATAGACTTCATTAAAACTGTTGCACATTTACAAAAGTATTTTTCTAAATAATACAGAAAAATTGAATATGCTCCTCTTTCCTTTGCCCTCTTTTTCTCCTGGTGAATAGCAGCATGCACTGATGTGGTACCTTTGCTACAATTCGCCTTCCGGTGTGGATACATTACTATTCGCCAGCATCTGTAGGGCTCACTCTGTGTGCTGTATGGAATCCCAGGGTGGTTTAAACAGTTAAGCACTTGGACACTAACTAAAAGCTTGGCGATTCAAACCCACTCAAAGTCTTCTTAGAAGACATGCTGAAGACCTGCTGCCCAAAAGTCATATGTCTGAAAATCCTGTGGAAGGGTTCAATTCTTCACACGGGGGTGGGGGGTGGGGGTGGGGTGGCCATGAGGCAGGATGGACGTCTTGGCAAAATAACAAAAATAAGTCTGGGATGTCACACTCTATGAGCTTTGACAAATGTTGAAAGCTATGTGGCCACCCTCACAACATCAGATAGAATAATTTCACTGTCTCCCAAAGGCCCTGTGCTCCACCTTTATGTCCATCCCTCCCACCTGTCTCTAAGTCCCGGATACTGATATTTTTACTGTGTCTATTTTTTTTAGTATTTTGAGAATCTCTTTAATTAACTCCCCTTCCAAAATATGTTTCCCCTCTGGAAGGAATCAAAAACGGTTTTTCTTCTGAAGCTTTGAAATAAATTCTTCTAAAATCAAGAAGGCGCAAGTGTTAAGTGGTTGGTGGCTAACCAAAAGGTGACCGCATTAATCTATCCAGGGGATCCACAGGAGCCCTAGTGTTCTGATTTCCTAATGACTCTAGCCAAGAACATCTTAATAGGCAGTTCTACTCTAAAACAGGGACGTACTGTGATAGCGGATCAACTCAGTAACACCTGACACCAACGACAAAGTCAAGACTTGTGTGTGTGTGTGTGTGTGTGTGTGTGTGTGTGTGTGTGTGTAAGCTGGAATCAACGCATCGAAGATGCATTGATTTGTTTATTTCTTACCAAGTGATTCTCAAGTGCTACCTCCACGGAAACAATTAAGGTCTTTCATTTCTTAATGTTACTCAGTGTTCAATGATGTTTTAGAGATGGAATTAACAATATCTTTGCTCTAAGTCTAAGACATTTCCACATAAAACTTCTTCACTTTTCTTCAAAGATATTAATAAATATCGCTCATACACTCACTGTTGCCTAAAAGCTCTAGTTTTCATGGATCCTGCCAAGAGGATGTTTGTCTTCACTTCAACACACTGTCTGACCTGCATGCGTCCTGAGTAGGACATGGGTATGAAACTGTCTCAGATTTGATTCCCATATCAGATTTTGAAAAGGGCCAGCCTCATGAGCATTTCTAAATGAAACCACAGAAGACTAGGAGTAAGAAGAGAGCATGGTCCATTTTTGTGACATCCGATCTTATTTCTCCTCCTTTCATTTGTTTGTTCTCTGTGCCAGATGGATGAGAATCAGAAGGCAAGCTGCCATGTCACATCTCTTGCCTTTTCTTTGGTGACTGGAGATCGATTGACTGGAGGCTCATCGCTGGTTTTCTCCCCTCTGCCGTGTCTTTCAAGAGAAAGCTGGTGCATGCGGCCATCTCAAATTTGATGTACGAATGTGTCACAGATAAACAGCTTCTACAGCAAACAGCTATTTGAAAACCCTTGTGAATTTGCCATATGGACCCCTTTGTGGGCTCTGTTTCTTCCTGTGGTGCCTTTGTCAAATTCGCATTTCTGAGGATGAGCAAACCTGCATAAACCTGGCTGCATCCAGCCCTCAGTAGTAGGTGTGGTGCCAAAGAGTTCCTTCTGCTTTGGGGGGGATTAAGAATGATAGTTTTTAAAAAAAGAAACCCTCTGATAGATAGTAAGAGAAAATACAAACAGTCCAACAGAGTGCAACTGATGAACAGTTTTTTTCTTCACGCCAGCCACTAACATGACCCATGTTCTCCAATTCCATTAAAAAGCTTGCTGTTCCTACCGATGTCTACGGTATAATCTTAGAAGTCTAACAGCGAACAGTAGTGAGCACTGTCTTACCCTCTTTTCGTTTGCCTCCCTCCCGACAGTGCTGCAAATGATGGCTCCGTGGGGAGAAAGAGGAGAGGAGAGGAGCAGACTCTGGGTGTCCCAGTCAACAAAAGGAAATCGCTGCTCATGAAGCCTCGACACTACAGCCCCAATATGGACTGCAAAGAAGAGAGTGAGGACAGGACTGAGGCCGAGGAGGACCATTTCCTCTTGCCAACAGATGATCACTCTGTTGCAGGTAGCAAACCAGGGGGTTGTACACTGTATCGGCTCCCTGTCATGAGAGGCATGCCTAATTCATGCAGGACATATGTGATTCAAGAAGTCTAGTCCAGTTTGGAACCAAACTGCATTTTGTTAATTTCAATCAGTATGTACTTATTAGAAGGCCCATTAAAAAAATTATCAGACACAGTATAGAGTCCCAAGATAAACAACACCCAGTCCTTACCACCAGTCCATTTCCAAAAGCATAGGCTTGGGTTATGATTTCTCTTGAGGAAAACAACAATAGCAAAAAGGCTAAGACATACACTGAAAAGTGCCTTGACTCCCTAATAGGGTGGATGGGGAACCCCTGCGGGAGCCCTTTCGACCCAAATCAAAACATCAACTCCACTGCCACCGAGTTCATGCCAACTCCCTGTGGTCTTATAAGGACAGAGTAGAACTGGGAATCTTCACCAAAGCAGATTGCCTCAGCACTCGCCTACAGAGAAGCTGGTGGATTCGTACCACTGATCTTTCAGTGATCTGCAAAGGTCTTTCACCCAAGAGCCACCAGGTCTCCTCCAAAGCCAAAGGGCATAGTTAAACATTTAGATCTCTGAAAAATTATGTTTTATATAATGCGATTGCTAAATCTTTCTCATTTGTTTTATCAAAATATAGAGTACTATTTAGCCCCAATAATAATGCAACCTGAACCAATACTTGCAGGGAGCCATTGTTTACTATTTTCCATATAGATTACAATAGATCATTATAGTAACAGATGGTATAGAAGGGACCACAAATTGGGAACCTACCATAGGAAAATGAATCTCAGAAATCTGTTAATAAGTCCATTATTTCTCAAATATTACATTTTTATTAATTCATTTACTAATTCATTCATGAAACACGCTTACAGGCAGCCTACAATGTAATTACTTATTTAAATGTTTCAGGATGTGATTCCTTTCCCCGAGTTCACAAGTACTCCCATGGGTTTCTAGTGGCCACATGCTCAGGCAGAATATCACCTACCATTTTGTGCATGAAGCTAGAACTGAAGGACATAAAAAATGTTCTTAAATTTGTGAGGAAACTAAATAAATGAATAGCTAATGCTGGTTGATTAGAAAAGTTAGGTGAAGACATGTTATATTACATTTACAGGATATTTTTTGAGCACGATTTATTCTGAGATCAAAATATACTACATAATTTGTCAATTGAAAAGGAGTATCTATTACACACAAAGGTATACACACACACACACACACACACACACACAACGTAACTAGAACATAGAGATTTAGTGTATATCATCCTATCTCCAGTGAATTGATTTTAAGAGAAGCTTTGGGGTCTGTCGTTAAACTAAAGTTGTATCTGATTTAACAATCTTTGGTGTCCATTTCCTAGGTTCGCTATCTCTATCATATTGCTTGGAGTTTTGTCGATCACTGTCGATTAAAGTCATCTTCGGCTTCTTGTATTTCCTTGAAACTGATAAATGTCATTTGTTGATTCAAGGAAATGTCAAATTGACTTAAGTGTTGGAAAGAATCTTGGGTCAAGGTAGCTAGCCTTGGGGTATATATGCCTAACATGTGGAATGATCCAAATATTGAGGAAATGGGCATGCTTTAACGTCATGCATGCTCAGGGTAACACAAGCACCAGGAGGACAAGGAGTGTACAGGACCTGTTGCTTCCCAGCTTTTATCCCAATGGGCTGATTACCCTAGATATTTAATATTAACCCACTGGGTGTCTGCAGGGTTAAGCAGCTCTAGGAGAACAGTTACACCCATGCCATTGAGGACTCTGCTGATAGCCTCTAAAATACTGCCTAAGGAAGGGAGATGAAACCATTTCCTGATACCTCTTTCATGCCATCTGGTTTACATGGGCCCTTTGTCACCAACAGAGATGCAGTTCTATGTGATGAAATATTGTCCTCCTTAGCATTCAGGTAAGGAACTCAGACTCAAAAACGTAAGAAACTACAGCAGAAACTACCTCTCTTTTTTAAAAAGGGGATGGTTTTTTTTGCATGTCCTTCACATATCATACAATTTAATCCTTCAATCATATTAAGACATTTTGTACAATCATCACTAAAATCAATTTCAGAATATTTTTTCTCATGCTCATTATCCTTAGCTCCCCCATTGCCCCCGATTCTCCCTGGAAAGTAAAAGCAAAAGATGGGCCACCAGGTCACCTAAAGAGATCAAATTCTGCTCATAGAGCTTCTGCAGCCAGTACCCTGCCAGCAGAAAGAGATGCCCTGTCAGTGGCTTGTGGGTTCAAACGCAAATGCAGCTTCTCTCTGAGGAGAACGCAGGAGAATGCTGCTGGGGTCAGGCACCACAAGTTGGGTCAGGCACTTGGAAGGAAGGCTCCTGGAGAAGAAGCCCCAGCCACACACACAAGGCGTGCACAGGCCCCTCTGGCGGCAGCGCTCCTCATTTTCCAAAGAACAATTAATAAATATTTTCTTTTAGCATGTAACAAACAGTTGAACCAAACAATTATGTAAACTGGAAGTGACCCAAACGCTGGCAGCTTGGCAGCAGCGCGGGGCAATGCATTGTGGTGCACATGTGCGTTTGTCCCTCCTCCCTCTCTGGTGATCTGCACTTAATAGGAATATTTTAAACTATGTAGCTAAGCAACAGAGGTAATTGTTGCTTTCTAGAGCTTTTGTTAGCACTCTCACACAGCCCAAATATGCATAATTAGGTATAATGTCTATAAATCATTATTGTACACATGTGGGTAGTTAAGTGGAGTGAGAGAAGAGTTCAATGAATTGAGCATATTCACTGAAAATGCTTTTTATTTGTTTTCTGTAGTTCATAATACTTTGAAATTATCATAACCCTTTACACTTTCTCTTAATAGCCAACTGTGATACTGAGAAAAAATTCATTTGCATTTTAGACTATGTTTAATTTATTATTTAAACCTGGTGTTGCTCTGCTATGAATTCAGGGAGGATAGACGATTCCATCAAATATTATGGATTTGTTTATCCAGGCTTTCTTCTAGGAAGTGAACTGTTAAAATTTTCAGTTTATGTAGAATAGATCCCAACAAAAGCCTGAACCCTATAATCAGCATTATTTAAAGGGGCTAGTGTTGTGACTAAATTCTTCCCTTCATCCAAAAATGCTTTTAGTTACTATGGCAATATTTACTTGATCCTGGCAGTCCAGTGTTGATTTAGGGCGATAATTACCAGAAAGGAAGATGATGGAGATGCGGTTTCTAGTGTCCTTGTCGGAGACAATGTTTACCAAAAAAATAAAACCAGACAAAAAGAGCTGCGATGTCTTAAACAGAGACACCATCCACCTGGGCCCTTGCCACCAATGGTTACACTGTTCTTCTACCTGAAGATGTTGATTAACACAGAATGGTCTTCATCGGTTTCTTCGGAGGCTTATTCTCTTATTCTCTTCTGCTTCCCAGCCCCCATCCTGTTATCTGGAGATCAGAAAAGGTCCTGCATCTCTATTCTTTTTCTCCTTTTTTTTTTGTTCTAGTGCATAGCAGAAGGACAATTGTGGGTGATTTGGGCATTCCATCGCCTGGGATGTGCGCTCTGTCATGTTCCCTGTCTCACTCCTTGCCTGAGCAAAAGTCTCTGGCCACCAGAGAGCTGGACTCTCTGCTCCATTCCTTGCATGTCTGGCTGGGCATCTACATTGGTATGGGGGCAGGTAGTGAAGCATGCCTGGGAGTGAGAAGGGTCACATTAAGATCCCAGGCACTTTGGGCACGCTCTGTCACAGAGATTTCCTGGAGTACATGACCCTGATTGGCCCGGTACTTAGCTCAACTAGTTAAATATGCACCAACAAAATAAAAGAACTGAACAGAAATTTTCAAAAGGGCTGTTTGAAAAGAAAAATGTATTTTAGTGAAATGTGCAGACCCGGAGTTAGGAAAACCAAAGGGAAGAATATACTTGCATTTTACGAGATGAAATAACTTGGGGGAGGGGGGCATCTCAAGTTGCAATAGTGAAGAATTCTATAGACAAAATGCCGAATGAAACTACAGCATCCAAAGAAGATGGAAGGAATGTACAGAGTCACTAGACCTTCAGATATGATTGATATTCAACCATAGCAAGAGAGGGCTATGATTAAAAAAAAAAAAGTATTGAAGGAACACATCCAAACAATGCTCCATAAATTGATGAAATACAATTGAGATGCAGCACTAAAGATAGGGGTCCTGGGAGCATAGTATAATGGGTTGCACATTGGGCTGCTAACCATAGACCAGCAGTTCGAAGACACCAGCTGCCCCATGGGAGAAAGATGAGACTCAGAGTTCCCTTAATGAGTGACAGTATTGGAAACCTATGGGCCAGGTATATGCTATCCAATAGGGCCACTATGATTTAGGATCAACTCAGTGACCGGGAGTTTTCATTGGAAAGCACTGAAGGTGCTTACTTGTCTATCCCAAGAATTGTAGTAGACGGTTACCTGGCTAAACTACTAGACTATATCACTATGTGTGTGCCCATAGCAGAGAAACATGATCCAATAAAGTGTGGAAATTAATATCATTAATATCACACACAAGTAGAATTTCTAAAGATCATTCAAAATAGGTTGTAGCAGTACATTGACACGGGACATTGAAATTCATCTGGTTCAGAAGAGGGCATCAAAGGAGTGTTATCATCATTGCTGATATCAGGCAGGTCTTGGCTGGAAGCAGAGCACACCATAAAGGCATCTACTTGTGTTTATTGATTATGAAAAGCCATTTAATGCTACGGATATAACACTGTATGGATAACAGTTTGAGACCAGGAATACCACACCACGAAATTGTGCTCATGTGTACTCCGTATACAGACCAAGGGATGCTACCTGGCCTAAAATCAGGTGTACGGCAGGGGTGTTTCCTTCACCACACTTATTCCATCTGTATGCCCGGCAAATAATCTGAGAAGCTGGACTATATGAAGAATTTGATGTCAGTATTGGAAGACTCGTTCATGGATGACACTGTCTTAATGAAAATAGAGGGCTGGAAGCACTTACTGTTACACTACAAAGGCCACACCCTTCAGTACATCTCAACATAGTTAAAACAAATGTATTCACCCCTAGGCCACTAAAGAGCAGTATCGGCAACCGAGAAAAGATCGAAGCTTTCAAGAATCTCATTTTACTTGGATTCACGATGTCTATGGGAGCAGCAGTCAAGAAATCAAGAGACAGCATATATTGGGAAAATCTGCTGCAAAGTATCTCTTTTAGGTGTTCAAACACATACACGAAGATGTCATTTTAAAGACTGTGAGCTGTGTCTGACACAAACTACGGTGTTTTCAACAGGGTCTCATGCATGAGAACGAAGATAAGGAATGAGGAAGATGGCAGGGAATAGAGGACTCTGAGTTCTGGGATTAGCAGAGCACCTTCAACCCACCACGGACTACAGGGAGAATGAGCACATCTGTCTGAGAAGAGATGCAGTGAGAATGTTTCTTAGGAGGAAAGATGGCCGGAATTGGGGTCTTGCATATGTTGGACATGTCACCAGGGACAAGTCCTGGAGAAGGACATCATCCTTGGTAAAGTAGGTCAGAGCGAAAGAGGAAGACCTTCAGCTTGATGGACGGACACAGAGAAGCTGCAGCTGAATCACCCAGGAATGACTATGAGGATGGATCAGGTCCAAGGAAAGGTTCATTCGATTAGTCTTAGGGTTGTTACGAGACAGGCCAATTAGACAGCACCTAACAAGAACAGCGCTTTTCCCATTGGTTTATGGTTTCCTGGACATGGAATTTTAGGGTGACAACGATGCAAGTGACCAACACATTTGAAAGCTTCAGAATCCTTTTTGTTATCAACACACTGTTGTGTTTGGTAGTTTAATTAATAATCCATGAAATCTATAAATATATTTGAGTAACTATGGATCAGAGGGGAGATGCTCCTAAAACATTGTCATGGCTGCAGAAAAATCTGAACAGTATTTTCTTGATAAAATATGGTATCATATATATATTTATTTCTTTTTGATTGGCTAAGGTTTGTTCACATTTAACAGTCTTGTTTTAGATCAGTTCTCAAAAAATCATTAGCTCTTACTTTGTTGAAAACTCTAATAGTTCACTTCCTTTTAAAACAGGTTAGCAGTTTTATTGTCATATAATTCACATAAAACACAATTCAATGGTTTGAACATATTAAAAAGAATTATGCAATTATCACCCCAATTTTAAAACATTTTCTTCATTCTTGTGCTTATTAATGTTAGCTCACCATTTCTCCCCAACCTACCTTGCCATAACCCTAAGAAACTATTCACCTGGTTACTGTATCTATAGATAAGTAGATAGACTTATCCTGGATTTTATGTAAAGAAAAACATACCAGCCCCCAACCTTAACATTAAATAGCAAAGTAAAATACAGAAAAAAACTCAATAGAAAATAAAGCAGCAAAACACAACAAAACCAGCACAAATTCAAAAGGGAGAACAAATGATAAGGTATTAAATGTCAACCTCACCACGTCTGCATTAGTCTACTTTCCAGTGCACTCTGTCTGGTAGCAAGGCAACTCACATGGCCAGAGGGGAATCTGCCAAGGCAAAAGTACCCGTGCATGTCTTGAGGGGCAACTCTCAGAAGCTTTAGTTCGCTGAGATGTCTTGGTGGCTCTACAGTTAGATGTTCAGCTGCTAAAGGCAAGGCTGGTGCTTCAAACGCCACTGGCCAGTCTGCCTAGTAACCCTGGCAATCTGCTTCCTCAAAGATTCCAACCTGGGAGAGCCGATAGGGTAATCCTATGATGTCGAAGGGGGCCATTATGATGGGAACATCTACTCGATAGTGCAGACAACAATAAAGGTTTGCTTTGCTCTAAGAAGATATATGCTTTATTCCACCATGTTTAGAAAATGGATAAACATTGTATCACACATGTGAAAGAGTTTCCCAAAGTTCTCAGGAAATATCCCATTATCTTGTCATTCCATTTTCTCACAAACGCTCGGAAGGCCCCTTGAATTCTACATGATAGACGTCTGTTTACACGTGTGTGTATTCTCGTGCCATTTGCTTTCAATATTGTTTGCTCTTCTGTTTTAAATATTGTCTATTCTTTTTCTGTAGAAGAAACCATGGCAAAACCTATGGACAACCCGTTTTATTCAGTTGCACACAAAAACTCCAATATAAAAGAAGATAGATGCCCTAGTTATCGAGAACTTGTGGTCAAATCTTTCATGCACTTGGGGAAATTAGAAAGCGGAGCGTCTGTACAGACTGCGAGTGAAACCTTAAATGACAGTGGTATCCAGTCTTTGAAAACAGAGGGTGATGAAGCGGAGGATTGTCTTCTGTTTCCTTCTGACGATGGTAAAGACAGAAACAAGGATTCCCAACTCCGGTTCTCTTTCTCCGATGAGAGTGAAAGTAACTCAGAAAGCACACAGAATAGTTGGGAGTGCGCCTCTAATTTTTCCGGAGAAACCACACCGCACAGAGTGGCCAAGTATATTTCAGCGGATGATCAAAAAGACCCCGCAGACGTTCCAGAAATAAAAACTGAAGTTGAACAGTGTCTCCCGTGTAAAAACGTGTGTGACCCCGAAGCAGTAAGCAAAGACCCCCAGAAGACTCATGTGGAGTCCTTGGAAGGCCAAGGCCAGCCTCCTTTCCCAGAGCACGAAGATGACCGGGAATGCCTGTGCGCCACGACCAAAGAGATTGAGGACCTGGAGAAAGCCAGGGGGAATTTAAGTTTGCTGGAGCAAGCAATTGCACTGCAAGCAGAGAGAGGGCGCTCGTGTCACAGCACCTACAAAGACCTGGATCGTTTTTTCCTGGAGCACCTGGCCGGGGAAAGGAGGCAAACCAAAGCTCTTGACCTGGGTGGAAGACAAATCTTTAACAGCAAACGTAAGGCACTTTTTTTTTTTACATTATTGTAGGGATAGAATTGCTTTAAGTTTTGAAATTAGCTGGATTTTTATGTGCAGATAACTTTAATACAATTTTTAAATTAATTTATGCTATAAAATACTTCTCTCTCTCTTTTTTTTCCTTTTTTCCTTGGTTTTTCTTCGGTTAAAAGGAGATCAGCTATTTCCCCCCAGTGTTTTCACAAGCACGGCCTCTCTTCCTTTATTTGACTGCAGTTTTAAAACATGTATACCACCACGTTTCGCCATGGGTGCAACACTGGTGGTCACTCGTGTTTCAGAATGGAGCTCTCTTCCATGAGGTGTGCAGTGGAAGCTTTCTGTAAAAAATACTCTTATTGGGGCTTGTACAACTCTTATCACAATCCATCCATCCATCCATTGTGTCAGCACATTCGCACATTGGTTGCCATCATCATTCTCAAAACATTTGCTCTCTGCGTGAGTCCTTGGTATCAGCTCCTCATTTCCCCCTCCCCCTCCCCACACACCCATCACAAACCCTAGATAATTGATAAATTATTATTATTGTGTCGTGTATTACACTGTCCGACGTCTCCCTCACCCTCAGTGGATGTTTTTTGAGAAGAGTATAACCAGAATTTGCTCTGAGTTGCCTCTCAGTGGGACTGACCTTTTCGCCTTTGGTTTAACAACCCACGATGTCAATGTTTCCACCCGCCACTGACTTTTAATAGATAGTACTTTCCAAAGTACTTTATCAGAAACTCTTGGAAGTATGTCAGTACTCACTGGATTGTAAGTCACTTTACTAGCCAAATCTATTCCAGAAACTCCACATTTTACGTTACCTCTCTCATGCTGAGAAGCACTGAAGGCATTGTTGCTCTAAAATAATGTCACACCACTTTCAATCCAGGCATGATGTTCTAATTCTTTTAGAATAAAATTGGACATTAATGATTTGACAACTTTCCTCATTTCTCTAGTTCAACCACAAATGGGCCACTCTTGAAAACAAAGAGCCAATAGGCTTTGAGGAGACCTTAGAGCTAGCTGTTCCTCAGGCTTGAGAACTATTGTAGCCCCTGCTGTCGGAAAGGTAATCCTCAGTCTCTCTCTCCCTGAGCCTTCTACCAGGTGGGCTTCATGATGATTCTAATAGTTATGCAGAGATTCTCAAATGGTGGTCATTCAGTCCCAGACCACCACCACCACCACCACCACCACCACCACCACCACTTGCCATGGAATTGACCCTGACTCATGGTGTCCCCAAGTGTGAGAGAATAGAACTACACCAATGGCCGATTATTTGCAAGTAGATTGGCTTTCTTCCCAGGGACTTCTGGGTGGATTTGATTATATAACCTTCAGCATTCCAGCGTGTGCACCATTATCACCACGTAGGAGACTCCTCGATGCCTAGAAAATGGCTATGTCCTCCCAGGATGATATCAGACTTTTTGTTCAAGACCCTTGGAGTATGGACGATGAATCTGCATTTTGTTAGCAGGTCCTCCAGGTGAAACCGGGGCGATACCCTCCAGTCTGAGGATCCCGGGATGAGGGGAAGGTCCTATACGAGGAAACCAAGGCCACGCATTTAAAAGGCTTACAAGAACATGTTACTATGTCTTACGATTTCTTAGTTGCTGAGATTTCTACATGAATTAATTGTATATTTTGTCATTTTAAGCCAATTTTAGCACTCACCTGATATCTCTCTAAATAATTTCTTGCAGCTCAGAGCTGAGGAAATGAAAAATAATAAAATAATACGATTTCCCCTTGAAAACCTCATTGCAGTAGAGTGAATTCTGACTTACACTAATCCTATGTGACAGAGTATTTCTGCCCCAGTAGGGTTTTCGTGGCTGACCTCTTTATATGAAGAGACTGCCACATGTTTTCTTATATAGCAGCTGGTGGGTCCAAACCTTTGGGTTAGCAGTTGAGCATTTAACTACTGCACCAGTGGGAATTTCTTAATGTCAGCTAGGAAGGAGTAAAGTATGAATGCCATGCGGACAGCGTTCAAGGGATCTGTAGAGATTGCATGTTAATAATGTGTGCTTGTGTGTGTGTATGTGTGGTATGTGTGCTAATATGAGCCATAAAGTCAAATAAATAAATTGTTTCTAATATGTCATATTTTATTAATTCTAAGATATACTGTTATCTCATGTAATATATCTGATATTAGTGGTATACAGTCATTTCTTTCTTAATAGCACACCAAATTCATCTTACATTTGGTGGCATTTTATAGTTCATAAAGTACAGTACTTGAAGAAACCTTAATTATTTGTGCATAGCTTAAAATATTTGATGATCCTTGGGTCATGTTTAGAGATTCTTTTTGCTTTAAAAAACTAAAACTACAGGATCAGTGTTTGTAAATATTGGGTTATACAGGACACTTGCCGAATTATTAATTGAACTGGCTGAATCAGCAGTGTATCCTATTGCCTAGAGTGCAGTCCTATCAGGAACAAAGGCTGTATTATTGTGTTAAAAGTTTACACAAGCAGGATGCAATGGACTAGTGTTAAACAGAGGCCTACAAAGTGGTCCCTGGGGAGCAGGAAAACCAAAGCATAGAAATGTTTCCCGAAGTGGGTGATACCACTCCCTGTGGGGCACTGAAGCAGATTCTTAAACACCTTATCCAGGATGATGGATTGTAGTGCAGAGTTTTTACTTGCCAGGCAGCACTATGTGACTTAAAAAAATTAATGTGGTAGATGGCTAAATAAGTTAGGGATGCTAGAGATGACCACAAAAACCAAGTTCATACTCCTGTCCAGGTGTAGCGTCTGTGGCACGGCCACAAGCTCTTCCTTGATGTGTCTCCATCGCTTACTAGCCAATATGCATCACAATATATAACTGTGTTCTGCAAAAAGGAACCCACGCTTCCAATTTGTCCCAGCCCAGCAGCCCCCGTAGTAAGGAGAGAGCACTTGAATGAAACAAAAACAGTTTTAACCAAAGCCTTCCAATGAGCTGTGCAGCTGTCACATAAATATAGTGACTGTCACTCTTAAACACGTAGTGAGACTTACCCACAATACAAGTAAAGCCATCGTATAATGTTGTTCAGCCTAGGATACTTTGAGAGTGAGTGGACTGATCTGAATAATTACCTGAATGTAACAGGTGTGAACAGGAACTGTCCCAGAGAAACCATGATGTTAGGTCCCAGGTATAAGGGCATGATCATTATGCAGCATTGTTCTAAGGAGAAAAAAATAAGAAGAGGAGCCAGGCCCAAGAGGTACCCAGAGCTTAGATTCTGTCTTCTTATCATGCAAACAGGTTCTGCCCTATAAAGCACTTCATCAGCATCTTTGTCTCACCCAGCAGAGAAGAGACTTGGAGACAAAGGTGCATGATGGACTGTCAGTGGGCCACACCTGGTCAGGTGCCAGCCAGGCCTTATCTCCAACCCCCTCTCTGGCTTCCTGCAGACAAATAGCGTGGCAAGAGGGAAATGCTCCACGCCAAACATTTCAATGGTGTTTAGAAATGTGGTCTCTGGTGGACAGGATCCAAGAGAGGCAGGACATCAAAATACATATTGTTGCTCTTCTCATTTTCCCCGGTACACTCTCCTACGGTGTCACCTCTTCTGATTTTGTGTTAGCCAGGTTTCAAGGTTTGGACTAGTCATCTACACATAGTACATATACAAATCAACTTGATATTTGGCCACACGTTTGGAATACATAAAATATATATCCATACAGGGCGTACCAAGACTTCTAATATGCCTCTTGATCTCTTATGAAATACAGATGGTATAATCAGGGCATCTTCACATTTAAAATTTGTCTCCCTCAACAATAAATGACTGTTACTTGTGTCACCCCCCTCCCCGTCCCTCATTTTCTCTCAGTGGTTCCTCTGGGCTGGTAGTCTGTTACACCGGGGTGGAATTTTGATCCTTTACCACTCTACTCAAACGATGCCCCCCATAATTGTATTACACATGTATCACATAGGCCCCCCTCATTTAGAATCCAGGGTGTCATGGGGGCACATTCCAATGTGCTAATTGGAGTCTCTCACATTTTTCCCTTCGCCGGCCAAATGCTGCAAAGAGAGGCACATGGACCTGTGTACCAGATGAAGGCCCTGACCCGCATGCCCCCTCTAACTGCTGCTTTGTGGCAGGATCAAGCACATGACCTATTTTCACTCTCAGCCTCAAGTGGGCTGATTACTACTGGTATCCCTGCCCCTAAATTCAGCAGCTGACTTGGCTCTCAGGTAGAGAGTGGGGAACAGGTTTCCCTAAGTATTTACAGTACTGGGCCACACAGGAAAGGTACAGACAAATGTGGCCATCGCCGTCCTTTTCAGAAATTCACTGACCGACCCTCCCAACCATGATTATCAAGGTATCTGCTACTAAAGCTTCCTTTATGTCAGGCATGGTCTCATCAGTGTCTCTGAAGTGCTGACCTATTCACACCGTTCTCTACCACTCAGCCATGCATGGCAGCATGTCCTCAGACCACCTCTCTTAGGTCTTGTCCTACAGTAGCCCCAAAAACCCACAGAGCTGAAGGTATCCCAAGTGCTAGGCTGTATTCATTCATGCTGATGCCTTCTAGATAGTTCCAGAGTCCCCCAGGCTCTTGCTCCAAGTCCCAGTAAAAACACCCTACAGCACTTCACTTTGGGAACCTGGAGTTTGGGAATCCTGGGCTAGCAGATGCAAAGAGAGGCTACTGGATGTCAGGAGTCAGCATTGGGGGCCTTCAGGCCCTGAATGGTGTGCACATTGCTCTGCAAGTTGGAAACACTGGGCTTGAAGAGCCACGGCATTCCGGGGTCCCTGACTGAGACTGCCAGGCACATGCAGGCACGGGCCAGATGGGCCTTGTCGGAAAGGAAGGATCTGCCTCCTGTTTTGTGACTTTGACTCGGGCTTATTCCAGAGTCTTTTAGTAGGAGATGGCTTTGGCTTGAATAGCTTTTTTTCCTTCTCCTTCACATCCCCCCCCCCCACCGTGTTCGTTGTCCTTTGATCCCCCAGGTCCTCCCGTTTTGACATAATGAAATTCTAACTACAAAATGAGGTAGGACAACTTTTAAAGCCATGTCTACATTTTAGCACTTCCTTGCCCTGGGTGGGCCTTTGCTTAGGAAACCAAGGAAATGGAAAATGTTTTTTAATGTTTCCACAGGTCTTAGTTGAGGGCTTTCTTCATGGCAATGTGGGAAGAAGGCTTGCATTTCTAGTATGGAACCGAGTGAGGGGTCAGGTCTACAAGGTCATGCAATTGAATGGGATGGGAGAGAAAAGAACCAAATTCATCTTTCCGCAGACTCGCCGAGGCCTGACAAGAGGGAGACAAAGTGCCCCATCCCGGGATGTGATGGCACTGGGCACGTGACCGGGCTCTATCCACACCATCGAAGTCTCTCAGGCTGCCCCCACAAAGTGCGGGTCCCCCTGGAGAGTGAGTACTTTCTAGTCCCACAAAGGGAGGCTTGTTTGCATGCAGACCACCATGACTTTGCCCTTTTAATTTGGAATAGAAATGTAAATCATCTCTTCTGGCATTGTTTGGTTTTTTAATTGCTTATTTACTTACCAGATTTTTTACATATAATTCAAATATCATATATATTTTTAAATTTGTATTAGAATGATCATTTTTTACTGATTAGTATTGTTTTATTATTAAATACTTTTATTGGGGGCTCTTACATCTCTTCTCCCAATCCATACCTTCATCCAGTGTGTCAAGTACATTTGCTGCCATGATCCTTTTCAAAGCATTCTCTTCCCACTTGAGCCCCTGATCATATATTTCAATCGTTCAAAGATATTAAAAAGTGTTGTGTACTCATCACCAAATTAATTTTAGGGCATTTCTTCCTTGTAGTCCTTGAGGTCAGCTCATTTTCCCATTAGCCTCCTCCATCATGCCCGCCCCCGCCAAATCCAAACTTCCTGTCATTGGGTTAAACCGTACTCAGAGCTGGGCCCCAGGAAATTATTAATACAGTTACTACCTCTATAGACTTGCCTGTCCTGGATTTCATATACAGAAATCCATACAAAGAATACTAACAATGACAGACTAAAACAGGGAAAAACCTCAAGGAAAAGGGAGCAGAAATGATTAAATCTGGAACAAAGATACATTGGATCAAAAGGGAGATCAAATGAGAAGGTGTCACATTTTTATCCTACCTACCTCTGCAGTAACCTGCCCTATAAAGCCCTCTGTGTGATAACAAGGCCACCCCACCCCCACCTCCAGTCCACAGTCCCAGGGAATTCACCAGAGGGTTAATCCATGTGGAGTCCCTGCAAATGGATTTTGGACGTTCACTGTCATCTAGAGCCTTCTGCAAAATTAAGTGTTCAAACGTTAAACTCTAATACTGTTCCCTTCCCTGAATTTAGATTTTATTATGTACAGTCCTTGGGTCACACAGGCTGATAACACTTCATTCCTGTGGACTTCGCTGATCAGTCCAGCTATGCACCTGCACATCCCCTTTGATCCAGAGGCCTAGCTTCCTTTCGTGTATTATCCAAATACAAGGGTGCATCATCTAAACACAGGCAATCAGGCATCTCCCCAGGCCACCGTCAACAGGGGGTGCATGCATTCTGTGATGGCATGTCAGCAAAGCCTGTATCAGTGAGCCTGAAAAGGAGCAGTCTTAGGAAACCAGAGAAGAAAGGCACAGACCAGCTCCTCTGAAGTCTCCACAAATCCATGTGTTCCTGTTTCAAACTTACTAGGTAATACACGGTGAATTATGCAGATTACAATGGTGAGAACGTCTCAGCAGCCTCCTCTTCCAAAGGAAGATTTTGAGAATCGCGACCTCCATTAAGCCAACCAGTGCACCAGGGCTGGCGGCTCCTCAGACTGGTGATGGGGTGTGGTGGACACCAAAGCTTTCTCCAGCAAGCAAATACCATTCGATGTGGGGCTTGGGGAGAGGAGAAATTGAAATTGGAACGCATTTGCTGACTTTAGCTTTGGGGGTTGTTAAGTGCTCATGCGCCTTCCTCTGGACCTGGGCGCAGCATGTGTATTGCATAAATAGTACTAGTACAAAAGTGAAGAGTAACTTTGCTAGTACATGAGACGTTTATGCTGAATTATCCTTCTGTTTTCTGTCCTGTTTTGTACTCAGTTCTTGCCATGCATGAAAATGTGCTCAAGTGTCCCACCCCAGGCTGCACGGGACGAGGCCACGTGAACAGCAACCGCAACACCCACCGCAGGTGACTCCAAGGGCAGGCTCACGCCTTTACATTCAAATCAAATGAGAAATAAAACGAGAAAATTTCTACCAACAAAATAATGAACTGACAAGTTCATCACTTTGCATCACTTTCAAATATAACAATTCTCATTGTGTGCAGACTGAGAACTTACCCAAATTATTTTTTCCCTAGAAATGTTTATAGTAATAGCTAACTAAATTAGCCCACCACAAAATTTTTATATTTGGAAGTTATGGAAATTATATATTTGGAAAAAAATGTTCTCTTGTGCTCTGGGGATTTATCATAGCTGCCTTGCTACTGAAAAGAATTGCTTAAGGGTTATTTTGGCTCATATCCAACAAGTACTAAAAGAGCTTCAATATGCAAAGGTCTGGACTCTAAGTCAGCCTTTGGCTAGATATTTCTTTGATGTTGCCACCGACATAAAAAAGATATATGTATTTTTTCTATAGATGTGTATTGTGCATGAATATTTTGGTAAATATGTTTATTTCTTGTGTACATTTTACATGATTCATAGAGCACATGAATTATAAGCATGTATTTATGCATTCAGTTTAAAATATAAAATTCATTCCCTAAAATTTTACTGAAGTCTTTAGATGAGTCAAGGAGTTACTCTACTGACTTCTATAGTCAGCGGCTCATTTACGTGAGTACATTCGACTTCACATATTAAGAAGTGTCTGGATAATAAGTCGTTTCTCCATTACATAATACTTTACTCTCTAAAATCAGTTTGTTACCCTTTACCTTTGAGATGGGGTTAGGGGAGAGACTTGACTTTATAGCTTGCAAAAACCTTTGGGATTTGAACTATTGAAATGACCTGACATTTAGCATGTGCCAAGTTTGCTGTAAGACACATGCCAAGGCAAACTCCATTATTATTTTAACTCAAATCCTCCCACTTTTTTTTAAACAGCCTTTCTGGTTGTCCAATTGCTGCAGCTGAAAAATTGACCATGTCCCAAGATAAAAATCAGCTTGATTCTCCCAAAAGTGGACAGTGTCCTGACCAGGTTCACAGGTACAAAACTCACATGGCATTCCTGAATTGAATTTGTGTCATATTTTTGTACAATGGGGCTTCTCATCAATTATGCACCAGTCTCCCCAGGGCCTTACCGTAATTCTCAGCTACCAGAGACCTGTGTGTGGAGCCCACATGAGAAGTTGGGGTAACCAATAGCAAACATTAAATTGAAATTAATCCATATGAAATAAACCATATTAGTACACGTCCAAATCACAACAAAACTCATTACTGGGTTGGTTTTGACTTATAGCAACCCTGCAGAATAGAATGAACCTGCTCCATAGGTTTCCAAGGCTGTACATCTTTACAAAAACAGACTGGCTCATCTGTCTCCGGTGGGGTGCAAGGGGTCAATTTGAGGGGAGCAGCCTAACATGTAACTCAGTGGACCACCAGGACTGCCACGAGGCACATAGGAATCAAAAATTCTGTGTGGCTAGATTTCACCCATTTCACTGGCCCTGTAAATGCTGTTATGAACAAGTTAACCTTTTCGCCTGAAGAAAATGCCATCAAAAGTCATTCCAATCCACCCAAAATGTATGATGATATGCATATTCACCTTCTCTGCCGCATGGGGAGTGCCTAGGTGGCCCATTCAGCAGGCGCTCCGCTTCTACCTGAAAGGTGTTGGTTGGAGTGCATCCAAAGCGAGCTCAGAAGGCAAGCTGGTATCTGCTTCTTAAAAGTCATGGCCTTGAAGCTCTTTTGCAGGAGTTCTACTCTGACGACCTTCAGGTTGCTATGGGCCATCATCCCCTCCGTGGTAATTGGTTTGGTCTTGGTTTAAATGACTTAACATTCTAATCCCGTCAATAACTCTTAATAAAATAGCTCCTATTCTTGCAGTTAGCTTCCAGTTCACTCCGAGTGTTCCGTAGTTTTGAAGGACTTAGACCGAGACAATAAAATGTTAATGCTAATAAAAGTACAATGACACCTTTACAGATAAAAAATAAAACACCTTTATAGATACAAAAATGATAAAGTTAAAGAAAGTCACTTGGGGATTGTGACTGATAGCAGATCTTCACTGCTCCAGAGTCATATCGAGGGACAGTTAGTTGTTAGGCGTTCACCTACTGTCAGGATATGTGTCCCTCGAATATTCTGCCTCTATAGTTTTAACTGCAACAGTCACAGAGGATATTCAAATCACATCCGTGAAAATAAGTAGCAAGGAAGATCATGAACCGAAATGTGCTTCCATTTGCCTTAGCTGTGTAACTTGGAATTAAACTTCTTAAAACAAGTTTCTTGGTTAGTTCTACTGTAATAGCTAGGTTTTCCCTTAAGTAAGTTACTTATTAAAGAAACAAATACAGTGTTTAATTCTGCTCATTTCTTAAAAGATAGCGATTGTCTTTAGACCCCGATGGTTGTTTCAATGTTCTAATCTAAGTTGTTCACACGATGACACACTCAGCTGTCACTCCAATATTTTCATGTAACAGCAAGCATTTCTTTATCCAAAATGTCCTAGTCCAAAAACAGAAATTCTGAAAAACCAGACATATGCAGAGTCTGGTAGGACACAAGAAAAAAAAAACTATATAGCTGAAGTTACTAGATATATGTATAATTTGTTCTACCCGTTGGCCTATAGCACATTTGTGTCTCCTTGGCTGGAGTTGGTGCTATGCAAATATGGTATCACTATTTAATACAACCACAATAATTCCAGTGGAATGTTTAATTCACAATTAGCTAGTGCTGTAATAATTATATTATAAGTAGCATAGCTATTATAATATAGCAATTATGATAAAATTATCAAAATATAATAGCTAAACCCTTGAAATAAAATTTAAAAATTTTAAAAATAAAATTTAATTCAGCAAATCAGATGGAAAATGAGAGAAAGTGGTGAAATATCTCAGAAGAAATTCAAAATTCAGTTTTGCAAACCTTGTCAGTTCAACAACTAGTACCTACCAATGGGAATTTTCTCTAAGAAACTCAGACTACTAACAAATATTGAAAACACATTCTTCGTGGCATCTGCACCTTCCATGTGTATTATATACCCTGTGAGGCTGGGACATGGAATATGCCCAGTCCTATAGTCCTGGCAGAGCACAGAGAACCTCCTCATGCCTGTGACTCGGGTCTCTATAGGATGTGATGTCTCTGTGGGACCCAGTGGTAACTAGTTATAGAGCAGTCCATTTTAAATTCTGATAGTTGTAGGCTAACCAATCATTTGCTCTTATTTCTTTTGAACTATTTCCATCTCTCCCCAGGGCAAGCTTAGTGAAGCAAATGGAATTCAATTTCCGGTCACAAGCCATAACCTCTCCCAGAGCCACTGTGTCAAAAGAACAAGAGAAGTTTGCAAAAGTACCATTTGATTACGCCAGCTTTGATGCCCAGGTTTTTGGCAAGCGGCCCCTCCTACAAACGGGACAAGGACAAAAATCACCAACATTTCCGGAATGTAAGCTTCCAAATGTAATACTTAAAAACAAAAAAGTATAGTGTGTGTGTGGTCTCAATATATAATGTGCTCTTCCTAAGGAAGAATCTCCCTACATTGATTCCCCCTTGGACCACAAATTTCCAAAATTTTTACAAATCTATGGACTCTCTTTGATACCACATAACATTTCCTAGACTGAATGATTTTATGAATGGAGAATATTTGCTTCATTATATGATATTGAAAAACATTTTCAAAGAACTAAAATGCCCTGTAAAACCCAGCAGCAAAGTCTGGAAGAGTACCTTCGATTTTCCTAGTTTTGTTGACGAGACTGTTGACTAACGCCCCCTACAGACAAGGGAGGGACAAAAAGCATCACCGCTTCCTGAATGTAATAAGCTTGCTCATTGATGAGCAGCAGGCTAGACTCCAAAAGATACGGTACTTACCAGAAATAGATTCTGTCACTGCCAGTCTATTCAATTCAGAAAGAAAAATAGATGCAAATACACACACGCATATAAAAGGGGATTTTTAAACGTCTGTGAAAAAATGAAATTAAAAAAATGAAGTATTTCCATGAATTTTTGGAAGCACCTTTACTTATTTCATTATGTACTTATGCATACACAATATGTAAAACTCCATACAATATTACATATGGGCATAATTCAAGTAAAGCAAATTAATGAAAACATTCTCTATAGTTATACACTGGGCATTTTAATTTAAAGAATTAAAAGTATTCATGACATTTTCCTATTCTTAAAGTTATAGGAATATTATTTCATGATGTCATGATGTTGTTTATGAGAAGTAATGATCAAATGCACAATAAATAATATTCAAAGCAAAATAAGTAACTGAGTGCTTTTGACTAAATTAAATGCTTAGATACTACTTCCATAATATTGAGTGATATTTACCAACATCCTATGATAAAGAGAAAGATTTTTAATTCTATTTCTTATTATGACTTGACACCCACTACAGAAATATAAAATCTGAACTCAGCCTTGATATCTGGAGCCCTTTCTGGTTACCCTGAGAATATGTTCTCCTTTCCTTTGCTGACTGGCCCGCATCCAAGGCTCTGCCAGCTACTGGGTTTAAGAACCAAATAAACATGTCTATCAAATAATAAGATTGTAATCCATATGCAGGTACAAATTGTTCTTGTGAAACCACAAATGGAAAGGCAATAGATTTCCTCTACCTGCCCTTATATTAAGCCAGTTTTCAGAGGTGCATGCTGGAAACCTCAATCGTACCTGGTGGGCATCACTAACATAGCTTTGATCTACAGTTTTTGTCATAAACTTTGCCAGGTGCACCTGCCCCATAATATTACCGATGGAGTTTTCGTCAAAGGAAGTGAACATACACATAAATACTAAGAGAATCGGCATTCTTCCCCAGCAGTCACATCCTTTGATATGTGAGCCTCTGCTAAAGCCAATCCAAATCTTCACTTAAAGCCCCATTGGGTCGTCATGCTTTAATTTATTCTTCCCATATTGTAAGGGATGCAGACATCGCATAACAAACAAATCTTTTTAATGACGAAAGTCACATAGATGCAATTGCTAATCAGATCTTTCTTCAACAGCAAAGCAGTTTTCAAACTCAGTGAAATTTCCAAGCCGACTACCTACTGCAGGCGCCCACACACAGAGCCCTTGCCGTGCCAGCTCTTACAGCTACGGTCAGTGTAGTGAAGATATAGCAGCAGCTGCCGCCATCCTGAACCTTTCCACCCGCTGCAGGGAAGCTGCTGAGATCCTCTCCAACAAACCACAAAGTCTGTCTGCCAAGGTAGGCCAGTCCAAGAACCCAGAGGGGGGGCCAGCTCCTACACTGTGAGAGTAAACTGCCTTCGTGTTCACAGCCACATACACTCACGCTCGTCCCTCCCCCCCCTGCAAGCACAGCCTTTTCTCAGTCCTACAGGAACATTTGTGGCGAGAAACTCCGGTGCCCCAAAGAATGGAAGGCTGCATCCCTGGCTCTGTGGCTCTCCTTGACTGTGGTGTAGCCGCATTTGGGCAGGCGTGGGTTATGGAGACTGATGGGGGAGAGCTCACAGATCTCAAACATATTTTTGCGAGGGAGAGTTTGGCACACAAGAAGATATTTGCTATAAAAATAAACTTCAATAATGGAAACATTCTTTTTTGGCTACAAAGGAAAGAGGTTGAGCCTGTGTTACACTGTAATAACCCCGACTCACTGCCATTGAGTCCGTTCTGACTCAGAGTGAAGCTACAGGGCAGGGGAAGACTTTGCCTGTGCCTTTCCGACACAGTAACTCTGTGTGGCACTAGAAAGCCTGGTGCTGGTCTACATTGCTGTCGTATTTTTAAAGCACACATAGTAAAACCTGGATAAATAAATTCAACAGAGCAAGTTTGGGGGGATGTGAGCATTCCGGGTGTCAAAATTCAAAACCAGATTCTGTGAAGGTTAGAAAACATTTCTGACAAGCCATAAAATGAGTGTGTCATTAGTCATCCTCTTTGCCTTCTGCCAATGAGAATTACATATCCATGTTGCTAGAAACTTGAAAATGGAAATGATGACATTCCTTCTCCTCTGCAAGTGATGGTTTGGATTAGGCCACCCATACCACCAGGAGCTTGGCAGATCGGTTTGCCCGTTGGACCCCACAGCCTTCACCGTCAGTGACTCCTGTCTGCGCGTTGACACCAAGGGCCACAGCAGTTTCAAAAGCTGACGTTAATGGAAGTCAGCTGAAGTCAAGTGCGAGCCTGATTTTCAAAAGAGAAAGTGGACTAATTGAATCTTGGCAACTCAGACAGTTAAAGTATATAGCATTTCTTTCCTTTTTTAAACCAGCCCTGACCCACTGTGTGGTCAGCTGCTCACCTGGGATGACATGCCAGGCCTTCAAGAAAGCAGGTAGTGCAGAGCCACAAAGTGTTTGACTAATTAGCTCTGGCCAAAGCCAAGCCAAGGAAACCACAGGAAGAGCTGTTGGCCCAAACCGACTCAAAACCAAATTTCTAAACAAATGCGGTTCTTATGCAAAGAAAACCACGCCCTCTATCTATCTCAAGAAAACATCCACTAGACAAATTCAGAGTAATCCAAGTCAGAAGGGGTTTATTTAAATGAATTGTTCGGATAATTTTTAAATGCATCTTTAGTTATTATTAAACTCCTTACTGAAACTTGAATAAAATGAATTTCTTAAAGGCACAGTCTAACATGCAGGGAGGTAATTGAAGAAATACTGGAATATTTTCCTTCTCAGTGCTTTAGTATTTGGTTGCTAGGCTGCCCTATATGAATAAAGTTCTCAATATCGTAATCATGGTTACTATTTATGTGACAAGTAAATGCTTCTAGAAGAGCTGCTTTCACCTTCAAATATAGCCATTTTTAATTCCTCAGGATTCTCCCTTTAGCTTTAAGTTTCTTTGTAAACTACAAATGCTGAGTAGTTCGGATAGCGAATGGCATCTGAGGTGTTTTGCTATTGTTTTCCCTTTTCTCAATATATGCTTGTCTTTTTCAAGCACATTTCTAATCAGAAAAGTGTCTGGTAAATTGTCACATTGTTCAAAATCAAATAACCAATTTTCTAGGCACATTCTCCCCTACCAGATGTCACACTTTTGGGGGAGAGGGGGCGAAGCACACAAGGGTCAGAGGATTCTTGTCTTGTCTCACCTCCTCCACTAATAACAGAGACATCGTTATAGAAGTCACACAACTGATGTGAAGATGATGATGTCGGAGACAAGAAGTGTGCAGATTGAATTTTTTTTTTTTAGGTGTTTGTTGTGCTGGTGGTTATAGAAACCATTTTCCCATGACAATTGTCTCACTTGCAATAATGATCACTAAAATGGGATAAGCATGGCACCCTACAATGTCACTTTGCAGAATTCTTTCTCTGCGGGGCACACACACTTTCTCCACAGGCATGCACACCCCCACGCAACTTTAACAATTGGCTGAATCCTGTCTTAGTGGAAGGATGTTATTTTCTGAATATAGGCGAGAATATCATACATTTCTAAAACAGGGCAAAATTGTAATTATATTAGTAAAAGTGAGAAAAAGCTAAGGACATTATCCCTGAAGTTGATAAAGCCTTTGTTCAAATAGTCCCCAGTACAGGCCTTTTCCATCGTCAGTGCTGCGTTTACTCGGTGCCTTTTGTCTCTTGAGTATAAACAAGTTTCTCTCCATTGAATGTCAGCCTGGTTCTCTTTCTACTCCCCAAGTTTAAACAGGCTGGTCTTTCCCCCAAATGAGGTGCTTCCTATGATTATTTATGGTAGTCGGGATCTCTTGAGGAAGTAGTCATGTCCAGCTTTTTCCCCGTTCCTGACCCCTAGAGAGGAAATATTTGTAGTGCCTGAACGTGACATCCTGGCAGATGGAATCATATTTGCATCCGTGAAAATGCCTTCCAAGCTTCAGATCTCTTCTGCTGTCCACGTTGATCTTTTCTGTCTTTTCAATGGTCTTTGGCTTCTTCGTGTGTGATGTTCTTGAGGCCATCCCACAGCTCATCGAGGTCTGTCAGTCTGCAGTGTAGCACAACTTGAGACGTTCTCACAATTCAGGTGAGATACACTCAAGGGTATATTTTGGCTCTTGTCGACAGGTTGTAATTTTCTTCAGTTTCAACCTGCACGTACATCTGCTCGGGGTCCACAGTCAGCCTCTGTCCTAGTTGTAGCTGCGGTTATTGAGCTTCTCCGGTGTCTCCTCGCTCAGTTGTGGTGAATCTGATTTCTGTGCATTCCATCTGGAGAGGTCCACGCGTATCGTTACCTCGTGGGCTGTTGCAAAGAAGGTATTTGTGATTAGTCAGTCATTGACCTTGCCCAATTCTATTGTGCAATCTCCAGCTTCATGTCTATCACCAGAACCATATTTTCCAACAACTGCTCCTTCCTCTTTGTTTCCACCTTCTGCATTCCAGTAGCCAGCAATTATTAATGCATCTTGATTCCATATTTGATCAATTTCAGAGAAGACCTTGGTAGAATTTTTCAATTTCCGCATCACTAGTTTTAACAGTTGAATATGGAAGACCAAAGAAGACTGGACGCATTTGAATTCTGGTGTTGGCAAAGACTACTGAAAGTCTCATGGACTGCCAAATCTGTCTCCTCGGAGGCAAAGATGGTGAGACTTCATCTCATGTACTTTAGACATGTTGTCAGGAGAGACCAGTCCTGGGAGAAGCATAAGAAGCTTGGTTAAAATAGAAGGACAGTGAAAATGAGGAAGGCTCTCGGCAAGCTGAACTGACACAGCAGCTGCAACAATGGGCTCAAACAGAAGAACAACGTGAGGCTGGCGCAGGCCCTGGCAATGGTCAGCCCTGTTGTACGTCGAGTACGTAGGCGTCAGAACTGACTCGATGGCTCTGAACGGCAGCAGGAGATCTTTAAATGTCAAAGTACCCAGGCTGAAGGTTCAATTCCATCATGACCCTTCTTTCACTATTTGGCACAAGGCAAAAGAATCCACCTTTGATGTCTGTACCTTGGGTCTGTGTCAAGGCAGAGGGTGGGGCTTGAAGAGAGATGGTTCCTAACCTAACAGGCAAGAAGTATGGCTGTCTGTGCACCGGGTTTCACACGAGCATAGCAGGGGTGAAACCTGAGTTTTTACTTTTGTTCCGTCTCTCTCCATCCCTTACTTTAACATAGTTGTTAATTGTCATGGAGTTGATTCTGACTCATGGCGACCCCATGTGTGTAGATGAGCGCTCTTTCAGAGAGTTTACAGGCTCTGACTTTTCAGAAAAATCCTGGTGGCATCATGCTTAAGCATTCATCTGCTAAACAAGAGGTTGGTAGTTTGAATCTATCAGCTGCTCACAGGGGGTATATGTGGCAGTCTGCTTCAGTCTATAGTTACAGCCTTGAAAACACACTGAGCTAGTTTTACTCTGTCATCGAGGGTCTTAGAGTCAGAATCAACTCCGTGATGAGTTTAGTTTTATTTTGGGTGAGAACTTTCAGAAGTAGATTTCCAAGTCTGTCTTTGGACTGTCTTCTAGTTGGATTCAAACCATTAACCTTCCTATTATTAGGGAAGTACATAACCATCTGTGCTACCCAAAGACTTCATATTATGTACTGAAAATCTCTTAATTTGCATTCAGAACACAAGAGGAGAATGAATTACAGATAAAATTGGCATACCTGGGCTGTACCTTTTAAATATCAGGTTAGCACACACTAACCTTGATATATCCTTTCAACTTCAGTAGTGAGGATGGACCAGGGACCAGCAGTGTTTCGTTCAATTGTATATAGGCTCGCTATGAATCTAAACCGATTGTACAACACTTCACAACAACAACATAGAATTATGCCATCTGCAAGTTCTCACGGAACTTCCCAGTTTCATAAGAGATCTGAACCAGTGGTTCCAAAAATCACTGCTCTCGTGAATGAGAGCAGCCACGGAGGTTCTTTCCAGAGTGTCAAGAGGATTTTAGGATTCTACAAGTTCTAAATATAATTTTAAAAGGTGTATATATCCCAAAATGCTCTTCTCCTTCCAAAGTGTCTTCCGGCCAAACATCTGTTGACCCTACACTTTCAATCCTGAAGGGACACTGCTGCCCCAGGCCCATTCAGTCACCAGCATCCATAGACCACCAGGTGCATGTCAAGTTTGGGAGAGAGGATATTATATTTGTTTACATTGCCAACTACTTCCTTAACTTGAAAGAAAGAGAATTTTTTTTTTTTAATGTGTGCATTGTTAAAACACAGCTCAGCATGTCCTTAACTCAGAGCCACTCGGCCAATATCACC